GGCGGGGGGGGTGGGGGTGCGTGTGTGCGTGCGGCGGCGGGGGGAGTGATGGAGTGTGGGGTTGCGTGTGTGTGCGGCGGCGGGGGGAGTGGGGTTGCGTGTGTGTGTGCGGGGGGGGGAGTGATGGAGTGTGGGGTTGTGTGTGTGTGTGCGGCAGGGGTGTGTGTGTGTGCGGGAAGCGGCGCGGCGGGGCTTGGAGTGGGCATGGTTTCCGCAGAGGGAACGTTGGCCGGAAGGGCATGTGCGCGCGCCAGGGAACTTGCGGCTGGGCGCCAATGCGCATGCTCAGTTGTTTTGTCCTTTTGTGAGTGTTTTGTTGTGTTGTTTTTCATTTTGATTCGATTTGTTTGTACCTTGTGGGTTGAGGTATGTGCATGGGAATTTTGGTTAATTTCCGTTGGGGGTTTTTTGAGTTTTGCTGTTTTGCCGTTTTGTGAGTGTGTTGTTGTGTTGTTTTTCATTTTGAGTAGATATGTTTGTACCTTGTGGGTTGTGTTATGGGCATGGGAATTTTGGTTAAGTTTGTTGGGTTTTTTGAGTTTTGTTGTTTTGCCGTTTTGTGAGTGTGTTGTTGTGTTGTTTTTCATTTTGAGTAGATATGTTTGTACCTTGTGGGTTGTGTTATGGGCAGGGGAATTTTGGTTAAGTTTCGTTGGGGGGTTTTTGAGTTTTGTTTCTCCGTTGGATGCCCCTAACAAATTTATATATATAGATATATTGTGAATAATATTGAAATAATATTTATAAATTACAAAATATATAATTATATATGTAATAAATATTTATATTTAACATAACAATAATTTTATATATTATATATTGTGAATAATATTTAAATAATATTTATAAACTACAATACTTATAATTATAAATATATATAATAAATATTTATATTTAATATGACAATAATTTTTATATATAATATATTGTGAATAATATTTAAATAATATTTATAAATTGCAATATTTATAATTATAAATATATGTAACAATATGTATGTAACAATATTTATAATTATAAATATATGTAACAGCAAAACAACAGAGAGGAAACAACCAGGCACAGATTAACACCTCCCAGCAAGAGATTTTCCCAGGCTCAGCCAGGCTTTCAAATGCTAATGAAGGTGATCAGCTGAAACATTCACACCTAGCTCCAGCAGAGAAGAGCTCCTTGCCCCACCCCAGCCATTCCACAGATATATAAACCCATTGTCCTATTTCCAACAGACCTCACTACCTCTGAGGATGCTTGCCATAGATGCAGGCGAAACGTCAGGAGAAATGCCTCTAGAACATGGCCCTATAGCCCGAAAAAAACCCACAAGAACCTTATGTAACAAATATTTATATTTAATATAACAATAATTTTTATATATCATATATTGTGAATAATATTTAAATAATATTTATAAACTACAAAATATAAAATTATATATGTAATAAATATTTATATTTAACATAACAATAATTTTATATATAATATATTGTGGAATAATGTTTAAATAATATTTATAAACTACAATACTTATAAACATATGTAATAAATATTTATATTTATTTTTAACAATAATTTTATATATAATATATTGTGAATAATATTGTGCAAGGCTGGAAAAGACATGCATGAATGGGTGGGATTAAATGGCTTGGCCACGCCCCCTCTCTTCCTCTAAGCCCCGCCCCTTGCAGCCGATAGTAGGCGGGGCTATAAAACAGCAGCAGCATTACTTCAGTGAGCATGACGTCATGGATTATGCAAATGACGGAGGGGGAGAAGAGGAGGAGATCACCCTCCATTAAATATAATAATAATAATATTAATAATAATTATTATTATTATTATTATTATTATTATTATTATTATGGCCAGTAGTTTCCACAAATGAGTATAATATTATATCAAATAAATATACTAATACAAATATATAGATAATGTAAATGATAATAGTTTAATAATAATAATAATTCCACAAATGAAGATATCTAGATTATCTAGATATTATCTAGATACGGATTATCTAGACCCGGCACAGTCTGGCTTTAGGCCGGGACATGGTACCGAGACAGCCTTGGTCGCCTTAGTGGATGATCTGCGCCGGGAGCTCGACAGGGGGAGTGTGTCCCTGTTGGTGCTGCTGGACCTCTCAGCGGCCTTCGATACCGTCGACCACGGTATCCTTCTGGGGCGCCTCGCAGGGATGGGTCTTGGAGGTACTGTTCTGCAGTGGCTCCAGTCCTTCCTGGAGGGTTGTACCCAGAAGGTGTTGCTGCGGGACTCCTGCTCGGCCCCACAACCATTGTCTTGGGTTCCTCAGGGCTCAATATTGTCTCCCATGTTGTTTAACATCTACATGAAGCCGCTGGGGGAGATCATCCGGAGTTTCGGGGTACGGTGTCATCTGTACGCGGATGATGTCCAACTCTGTCACTCCTTTCCACCTGCTACTAAGGAGGCTGTCCAGGTCCTGAACCGGTGCCTGGCCGCTGTGACGGTCTGGATGAGGGCGAACAAATTGAAATTGAATCCAGAAAAAACAGAGGTACTCCTGGTCAGTCGCAAGGCCGAACAGGCCATAGGGTTACAGCCTGTGTTGGATGGGGCCGCACTCCCCCTGAAGATGCAGGTTCGCAGCTTGGGTGTGACCTGGATTCATCGCTGAGCCTGGAACCCCAGGTTTCGGCGGTGACCAGGGGAGCATTTGCACAGCTAAAGCTTGTGCGCCAGCTGCGCCCGTACCTTGGGAAGTCTGACTTGCCCACGGTAGTCCACGCTCTGGTTACATCCCGTTTAGACTACTGCAACGCTCTCTACGTGGGGTTGCCTTTGAAGACGGCTCGGAAGCTCCAACTAGTCCAACGCTCGGCAGCCATGATTTTAACAGGAGCGGAGCGCAGGGAGCATACAACCCCCTGTTGCGCCAACTCCACTGGCTACCGATCTGCTACCGGGCTGAATTCAAAGTGCTGGCGTTGGCCTTCTAAAGCCCTAAACGGTTCCGGCCCAAGCTACCTATCTGACCGCATCTCTGCCTATGAACCCACCAGGACTTTGAGATCTTCCGGGGAGACCCTGCTCTCGATCCCGCCTGCTTCTCAAGCTCGGCTGGCGGGGACGAGAGATAGGGCCTTCTCGGTGGTGGCTCCTCGGCTGTGGAACGCCCTTCCTACGGACATTAGACTAGCACCATCTCTAATGGTATTCCGCAAAAAGGTGAAGACCTGGATGTTTGTGCAGGCGTTTGAGTAATTTAGTGCAATCTGATAATGGAATATAGGAATGGAACAATGGACGACGAACCTGGACTACGCTTGGATGATGAGAAGATTGGGTACGGTTGTTTTTTGTAATAATTGTGCATTGTAATTGCTTATTGGTAATTTATGGATAATGTGTTAAGTCAATTGTTATATGTTGTATGGAACCACTGCTGTTTCTACGGTTTTTACTGTTTGTGAACCGCTGTGAGTCGCCTTCGGGCTTGAGATACAGCGGTATATAAGCAAAGTAAATAAATAAATAAATAAATAAATAAATAATATCATACCCAATAAATACAGCAATATATATAATTTAATAATAATAATAGATATATGCAATAATAATAATTTTATTACTACATATATATATATCTTTATATTTATTTATATATACAATAATAATAATTTTATTATTTATATCTATATGACCACATAGTTTAATAATAATGATAATTCCACAAATGAAGATAATAATATTATATCCAATAAATACAGCAATATATATAATTTAATAATAATAATAAATATATATACAATAATCATTAATTTTATATTACATATATATGTGTCTTTATATTTATTTATATATACAATAACAATAATTTTATTATTTATATCTATATCACCTCATAGTTTAATAATAATAATTCCACAAGTGAAGATAATAATATCATATCCAATAAATACAACTATATATATAATTTAATAATAATAATAAATATATATACAATAATCATTAATTTTATATTACATATATATGTGTCTTTATATTTATTTATAGATACAATAATAATAATTTATTATTTATATCTATATCACCATATGTTGTGATATTTTAATATAATATTAAAAAAGCAACGATGCTCATAATATCATATTAATATAGTAAGATTAATAAATATATAAATAAAAATAAATGTATAAATACAAATAAAATATATTTAATATAATGTAAATGAAACACCTCATAGTTTAATAATAATAACAATTCCACAAATGAAGATAATAATATTATATCCAATAAATAAAGCAATATATATATATATATAATTTAATAATAATAATAAATATATACAATAATAAGAATTTTATTATTATACATATATATCTTTATATTTATTTTTATATACAATAATAATAATTGTATTATTTATATCTATATCACCATATATTGTGCCGTATAAAATAAAATATAATATTATTTAAAAAGCAACGATGCTCATAGCAATATCATATTAATACAGTAAGATTAATAAATATATAAATAAAATAAATGTATAAATATAAATAAAATATATTTAGTATAATGTAAATAAAATATACATAAAATAAAAATAGTAAGCTATAAAATAGAAAGATCAATAAATATATAAATAAAACAATCCAGATATTATTATTATTGGTAATAATAATGACAATAATAGGCCCCTTTTCCACGCCTCTGTTTTGGCTTGGAAGGAGGATTGCCTTGGCCACGCCCACCAGCTCCCTCCAAGCCCCGCCCCCTGCAGCCAAAGGGAACCTCCCTGGCGGGGGATGACGTCACACAATATGCTAATAAGAGCGACTGGCTGGAGGCTCCCCTGCCTGGGCGGGCAGGACACGCCCCCTCTTCAAGCCACGCCCCCTGCAGCCAATCGGGAAGAGGAGGGGGAGATCTGAGTCAGCATGACGTCAGGGGTTATGCAAATGAGGGAGAGGGAAGGAGGGGAGACCCGGAGGGGAGGGGGAGAAGAGGAGGAGAAAGGGAAAGAGAGGCCCCAGCCAAGCACTGCCAGGCGCCTTCACCCTCCTCCCTCCCTCCATTCACAAGGCAAGGCAAGCAAGGTGGGCTCCTTCCTTCCTTACCATATGAGTCTTTTGGGGGGGAGATTGGATGGCCATCTGTTGGGAGGGCTTTGAGGGTTCCTATGAGGCAGAATGGGGGTCAGGCTGGATGGCTTCCAATTCGAAGATCCTATTAACTTCCCAGTTGGAAGTGATGGTGGTGAAGTCTCCTTCTGAAGGTTTTTGAGCTGGATGGCCATCTGTTGGGAGGGCTTTGAGGGTTCCTATGTGGCAGAATGAGGTCAGGTTGGATGGCCATTGGGGATCCCTTCCAATTCTAGGATCAAATTGGAAGTGATGGTGGTGAAGTCTCCTTCTGAAGGTTTTTGAGCTGGATGGCCATCTGTTGGGAGGGCTTTGAGGGTTCCTATGTGACAGAATGGGGGTCAGGCTGGATGGCCTTCCAATTCGAAGGTCATATTAACTTCCCAGATGGAAGTGATGGTGGTGAAGTTTGAAGGTTTTTGAGCATAGGTTGGATGGCCATCTGTTGGGAGGGCTTTGAGGGTTCCTATGTGACACAATGGGGGTCAGGCTGGATGGCTTTTCAATTCGAAGGTCATATTAACTTCCCAGTTGGAAGTGATGGTGGTGAAGTCTCCTTCTGAATGTTTTTGAGATGGATGGCCATCTGTTGGGAGGGCTTTGATGCTGGTGGAGTCTCCTTCTGAAGGTTTTTGAGATGGATGGCCATCTGTTGGGAGGGCTTTGAGGGTTCCTATGAGGCAGAATGGGGGTCAGGCTGGATGGCCTTTGGGGATCTCTTCCAATTCAAAGATCAAATTAAGTTCCCAGTTGGAAGTGATGGTGGTGAAGTTTGAAGGTTTTTGAGCATAGGTTGGATGACCATCTGTTGGGTTGGCTTTGATGGTGGTGGAGTCTCCTTCTGAAGGGTTTTGAGATGGATGGCCATCTGTTGGGAGGGCTTTGGCGGTTACTATGTGACAGAATGGGGGTCAGGCTGGATGGCCTTTGGGGATATCTTCCAATTCAAAGATCAAATTAAGTTCCCAGTTGAAAGTTATGCTGATTAAGCCTCCTTCTCTGGATGTTTTTGAGCAGGGGATGGATGGCCATCTGTTGAGAGGGCTTTGAGTTCTGTTGTAGGCTCTCCTGCCTTATGGGTTTCTCCCTGTGTGTTTGCACTGTGATCCGTCTTCAAGGGGGAGGCTGGGAAGGAAGTTTATTTTTGTCTCTCCCTATTAACTCCAGCTGCTTCTGCAATGGGAGCCTAAAATCCAGGCAGGGCTGCACTTGCTGAAAGTGGCCTTTGGGGTCTGCAGTGTTTTGGGGGTGTTGCTGGGGGTCCTTAGGGGCCCACATGTAGAATCCTAGAGTTGGAAGAGACCCCAAAGGTCACCCAACCCAACCCAACCCCATCTTTCCACGCTCTTTCTCTATTCCATGCTTATTATTATTGTATTGTCGAAGGCTTTCATGGCCGGAATCACTGGGTCGTTGTAAGTTTTTTCGGGCTATATGGCCATGTTCTAAAGGCATTCTCTCCTGACGTTTCGCCTGCATCTATGGCAAGCATCCTCAGAGGTAGTGATAATAATCTACACTGACCATACATATATTAATGTATGATATGATTATATGACTATATGATCAGTGTATATAGTGCAATATAGACCTATATAAAGCCGCCTTGATAATAATAAGGGTGTACACTGACCGTATTATTATTATTATTAATAATAATAATAATAATATGTAAAGGTGATCCCTGTGGTAATCGGCACACTGGGTGCAGTGCCCAAAGACCTTGGCCTGCACTTAAACACAATTGACGCTGACAAAATTACCATCTACCAGCTGCAGAAGGCCACCTTACTGAGATCTGCTCGCTGATACATATTGGATCACGTGTCCTAAGACACTTGGGAAGTTTCCAACGTGTGATCCAATACAACAGCCAACAGAGTGATCTTGTCTGCTGTGGACTCATCTTGTAGTGTTTCTAATAATAATAATAATAATAATAATAATAATAATAATAATAATAGGATTAAAAAATCGAACTGCAAAGACTCTGGCACAAATAGGTAAAGGTGGTCCCAGTGGTGATCGGTACACTGGGCACAGTGCCTAAAGACCTTGGCCTGCACTTAAACACAACCGGTGCTGACAAAATTACCATATGCCAGCTGGAAAAGGCCACCTTACTGGGATCTGCACGCATCATTTGCCGATACATCACACAGTCCTAGACGCATGGGAAGTGTCCGACGTGTGATCCAATACAACAGCCAGCAGAGTGTCTGCTGTGGACTCATCTTGCTGTGTTTCTAATAATAATAATAATAATAATAATAATAATAATAATAATAATAATAATAATACATCACACATCCCTAGACGCTTGGGAAGTGTTCGACTTGTGATTTTGTGATACGAAATCCAGCATATAGATCTCATTTGCTGTGATATACTGTGCTTTTGTGTCATTAAAATAATAATAATAATGGTCTGCACTGACCATACATACATTAATATTAAGGGTCTACACTGACCACACAGTGCAATATAGACCTATATAAAGCTGCCTTGATAATAAAAGTAATAAAAGTAATAAAACTGACCATACCAATAATAATAATAATAATAATAATAATAATAATAATAATAATAGCCAGCAGAGTGCCTGCTGTAGACTCATCTTGTTGTGTTTCAAATATTATTATTAATAATAATAATGTATTGTCGAAGGCTTTCATGGCTGGAATCACTGGGTTGTTGTAGGTTTTTTCAGGCTATATGGCCATGGTCTAGAGGCATTCTCTCCTGACGTTTCGCCTGCATCTATGGCAAGCATCCTCAGAGGTTGTGAGGTCTGTTGGAACTGTGGAACAGCACAACAACAGAGAGAAAACAAACAAGGACATCTAATCACCTCTCAACAAAAGTTTGCTCCAGGCTCTGTCAGACCATTATATGCTAATCAAGGTGGTCAGTTGAAACATTCACACCTAGCTCCAGCAGACAAGAGTCCTTTGTCCCACCCTGGTCATTCCACAGATATATAAACCCATTTTCCTAGTTCCAACAGACCTCACTACCTCTGAGGATGCTTGCCATAGATGCAGGCGAAACGTCAGGAGAGAATGCCTCTAGAACATGGCCATATAGCCCGAAAAAAACCTACAACAACCCAATAATAATAATAATAATAATAATAATAATAATAATGGTCTACACAGTGCAATATAGACCTATATAAAGCTGCCTTGATAATAAGAGTAATAATAATAAGGGTGTACGCTGACCATACCTATTATTATTATTATTATTATTATTATTATTATTTTATTTCTTGCCCACCTCTCATGTCTCGAGGCAGGTCGCAGCATAATTGAAACACACAAACATTGCAAAAAATTATAAATATGCATATATCTATAAAATATACATATTAAAATGTATTTCCGCTTCAAACAGTGTCGATCCAGCCAATGCTGAGTTTCTCCCAAATGCAATCCTTTTCTCATATATAAGAATGGCAGGGCAGGTTGCAGACCCTTCCTCTCCTCTATCTGTATCTAGAATATATATATATATATATATATATATATATATATATATATATCTCCTTGGAAGGAGAATCGACTGAGGATTTGCCATATGCAACAGGGACCTCCCTTTCCTGCACTATGAAGTATGGGGCGGCTATGAACTTACCGTATATTCCGGCATATAAGACGACTGGGCGTATAAGACGACCCCCAACTTTTCCAATTAAAATATATTGTTAAGACAATTCCCATGCATAAGACTACATCCGCGTATAAGACGACCCCTGACTTTTGAGAAGATTTTCTTGGGTTAAAAAGTAGTCTTATACGCCAGAATATACTGTATCTATCTATATCTATGGCTGGATGGCTAGTATGATCTATTGTATTGTCTAAGGCTTTCATGGCTGGAATCACTAGGTTCTTGTGGGTTTTTTCGGGCTATATGGCCATGTTCTAGAGGCATTTCTCCTGACGTTTCGCCTGCATCTATGGCAAGCATCCTCAGAGGTAGTGAGGTCTGTTGGAATTAGGAAAATGGGTTTATATATCTGTGGAATGACTGGGGTGGGGCAAAGAGCTCTTCTCTGTTGGAGCTAGGTGTGAATGTTTTAACTGACCACCTTCATTAGCATTGAAAGGCCTGGCTGAGCCTGGGAGTCTTTTGTTGAGAGGTGTTAAGATGTGCCTGGTTGTTTCCTCTCTGTTTGCTGTTGTAATTTTAGAGTTTTTTAATACTGGTAGCCAGATTTTGTCATTTTCATGGTCTCTTCCTTTCTGTTGAAATTGTCACATGTTGTGGATTTCAATGGCTTCTCTGTGTAGTCTGACATGGTGGTTTGGAGAGTGGTCCAGCATTTCTGTGTTCTCAAATAATATGCTGTGTCCAGGTGGTTCATCAGGTGCTCTGCTATGGCTGATTTCTCTGGTTGAGAGGAAACAACAAGGCACATCTTAACACCTCTCAACAAAAGATTTTCCCAGGCTCAGCCAGGCCTTCAAATGCTAATGAAGGTGGTCAGTTGAAACATTCACACCTAGCTCCAGCAGAGAAGAGCTCTTTGCCCCACCCCAGCCATTCCACAGATATATAAACCCATTGTCCTAATTCCAACAGAACTCACTACCTCTGAGGATGCTTGCCATAGATGCAGGCGAAACGTCAGGAGAAATGCCTCTAGAACATGGCTTTATAGCCCGAAAAAACCCACAAGAACCTATCTATCTATCTATCTATCTATCTATCTATCTATCTATCTATCTATCTATCTCCTTGGAAGGAGAATCGACTGAGGGTTTGCCATAAGCAACAGGGACCTCCCTTTCCTGCACTATGAAGTATGGGGTGAATTTATTTTGAACCTCCCCATTGTTGCATGTGGGCTGGGTTTGGGCTTTTACCCTTCTCTGCCATTTTTTTATTATTATTATTATTATTATTATTATTATTATTATTATTATTTGGGAACCCCTTTCTGAAGGCAGGGAGGTTTCCATTTCCCCCAGAGGCAAAGCCTAGTGGACATCCATCCATCAGTTGGGTTTGTGTTTGGCAAGGCAAAGCCACAGCAGTGGCCAAGGCTGCCAGATTTCCCTGTTGTCATAATCGAGATTTCTGTCCTGCTGAATCATAGCTGCCGCCGCCGCCTCCTCCTCCTCCTCGCTTGCAAAGTGTGTCATCGGTTACCATCATGGTAAAATTATCTCTCCCTCTCTGTGTGCCTTCCCCTCCATCCCTCGTTCCTTCCCTCCTCCTCCTTTTTTCTCCCCAACAGTTGTGAATACTTCTCCCTCCCTCTCTCCGCACTCAGAGGGTTGAGGAATGTTGCGGCTGTGGATGCTCAAGGAAGCTGCTGCAGCCGCCCCGAGGAGGAAAGCCAGAGCAGGCGACCGAGACGGCTAAAATAAACCCAGACGGAGCCAAAAGGAAGGGGCGAAAATGGGAGAAGAGCGAGCCCTATGAACACCACCACCCACCCTTGCACCTTGCCGCCTTTCACGTCCATCGCCGTGCCTTGTGGAGACGTATCCCTGGTGGAAGCCCGCTTGTAGCAACCAACGACGGAACCACCACACCTATTTGGGGTCTGTGTCACAGTTGTCATCATTTCGGAAGGGATTTCCGCTGTGCCGGGCTTCGGAAGAGAATTTCCGCCTGCCAGCGTGTGCCCAAGAAGAAGAGCCAACTCGACCTCAAGAGCAAACGTCTCCAAACATCTCACTCATTCCTGGTTGCCACTGTGCCATTACTGCATCTCCCTGTATGCCATAGTTGCCATCGTTTTTGGGGAGGGATTTCAAACAGAGAGAGAGTGTGCCCAAGAAGAACCACCAACTCAACCTCAAGAGCAAACGTCTCCAAAACATCACTCTCATTTGTGCCATAATTGTGAAATAGACTCAGAAGAAGAAGGGACACCTATTTGGACTCTGTTTTCCTTGTGCTGTGTCACCGTTATCATCGTTTTGGAAAGGATTTCGAGAAAGCCACCGCTGGTTGTCGGAAGGCAAAGTGTGCCCAAGGAGAAGAGCCAACTCGACCTCAAGGGCCGTCTCCAAACATCTCTCCCATTTGTGCCATAATTGTAAAATAGACTGGAGGAGGAGGAGGAGGAAGAAGAAGAAGAAGAAGAGAGTGGGTGGGTGGGGGCTTGATAGAGCAAAACCTTCTTAAGATATTATTTTTTTCTCTTGCGAAAGCTACATTACACCCTCTTACCTATACGAGTTCATTCTTCTGCTGTTCAAGAGGTAGACACGCACGCAACCATGATGTTTCGAGACCAGGTGGGAGTTTTGGCAGGTTGGTTCAAAGGCTGGAACGAGTGCGAACAGACCGTGGCCTTGCTTTCCCTGTTGAAAAGAGTGAGCCGGAGTCAGGCCCGATTCCTCCAACTCTGCCTTGAGCATTCCCTGGCTGACTGCACAGAGCTACACGTTCTGGAAAATGAAGCCAACAGCCCTGGTAAGTCTCTCTCTTTTCCTTTTTGACTTGCCTTCTTTTCTTCCTTCCTTCCTTCCTTGCTTCTTTCCTTCCTTGCTTCCTAACTTCCTTCTTTGCATTTTTCCTTACTTCCCTCCTTCTTTCCTTAATTCCTTCCTTCCTTCTTTGCTTGCTTGCTTGCTTCCTTCCTACCTTCCTTCTTTCCAGCCCTCTTTCCATTCCTTCCCTCCTTTTTCCTTCCTTCCTTCCTTCATCCTCCATCCTTTCCTTTCCTTCCTTCCTTCCTTCCTTCCTTCTTTCCTTCCTTCTTCCTTCCTTCCTTTCTTCCTTTTTCCTTTCTTCTTCTTCTCTTTCCTCCCTTTTCCTTCCTTCCTTCCTTTCCTTCTTCTTTCCTTCTTCCCTTCCTTCCTTCCTTTCCTTCTCCTTCTTCCTTCATCTCTTCCCTCCCTCCCTCCTTCCATCCTTCCTTCCTTCCTTCCTTCCTTCCTTCTCCTTCCTTCCTTCCTTCCTTCCTTCTGTGCTTGCTTGCTTCCTTCCTTCCCTCCTTTTTTTCCTTCCTTCCTTCTTTGCATATTTCCTTGCTTCCCGCCTTCTTTCCTTGCATCCATCCATCCATCCATCCATCCATTCTTCCTCCCTCCCTCCCTCCCTCAAGCAATAAAGTAAAGTAAATAGAAACGACCGGAAGGAAGGAAGGAAGCGAAGGAAGGCTAAGGAAGTAAGGAAGGACGGAACTTAACGTAACAGAAAAGACAGAGCGGTTGTAGTGAAAGGAAGGAAGTACGTCCCGGTAAGGAGTGAAAGCGACTTGTTCCAGTACCTCCCTTAGTTTGTCCTTCCTTACTTCCTTCTCCTTCCTTCCTTCCTTCCTTCCTTCTGTGCTTGCTTGCTTCCTTCCTTCCCTCCTTTTTTCCTTCCTTCCGTGCATCTTTCCTTCCTTCCTCCCTTCCTCCCTTTGCTTTGGTGCATCCCATCCCTTTATCAACCCTGCATTGATTGTCAAAAAGGATGGTGCAAACTCCGCTTCCAAAGGAGAGGGGGGAAATAGGGCTACCTGTGGGTACGGATTCTCCTTCCAAAAGCAAAAACAACAACAGCAACATTGATTTGGGAAGCATCTTGCAACTCTTTGCATCTAAAAGGGAGAAAGAATCATATTTTGGTGTGTTCTGTGTCAGATTCAGTGCAGGGTCTCTGGCGATCTGAATGGTATGGTAGTCATTTTCCTTTTTTTTCCACCCTCCAGTGCAACTTCCTGCCCGTATAAGTAAGTCAGATCACGTAGAGTCTGGAATTTTTAAGGCTTCTTTTTTTAAGGCAGTGTCAGTTGCTCTGCCTTTTTGGTCGCATGCGTGCGAGGGGGGGAAAGGATGATGGTTCTTTCTCCCTTTTTTAAAGGGACAGGGGAGGCAAGGATCCATTCCCCCCCACCCCCTAAAAAGCCCCCTAAGCATTTGTGCATTTATTTATCTGGTGTCAGTTTTTAGCCCTTCGGGTATCGCCTTTCACAAGAAGTCTTGGTGGAAATATCTTTTCAGCCGGAGCTGCTGCTACTGCTGCCGTGGTGTGTGTGTGTGGCATTGGCAGTACGTTCGCTGCATAAATACATGCTGAATCAGACGTCTTGTCGTTATTAATGGAACTCTTGTGTGCATTAAAAAGGTTGGGCTTCCTAAAGTTGTAAGGCGGTGCTTGGAGGAAATGAGAGTCATTCCCCCTTTTTTTATCGTGTGTGTCATCAGAAGAGAAACTTTGGCTCAATGGGTGTCTTTGGGTTGCAATTGGATTGTCTTTGGCAACTCTGGCTAGGATGATGGGAACTAGAGTCAAACTGCTATGCAACAGTTGACCCGAGTCCCTATATCAATGTTTCACAGCCTTCCGAATGCCGCGACCCCTTAATACGGTTCCTCATGTTGTGGATGTAACATTATTACATCCACAACTGTAACTTATTTTCGTTGCTACTTTATAACTCTAATTTTGCTACTGTTATGAATCGTAATGTAAATATCTGATATGCAGGGTGTATATTCATTCACTGGGCCAAATTTGGCACAAAATACCGAATACACCTAAATGTGAACACTGGTAGAGTTTGGGGGAAATAGACCTTGATATCTGGGAGTTGTTGTTGCTGGGATTTATAGTTCAGCTACAATCAAAGAGCATTCTGAACTTCACCAGCGGTGGAATTGTATTTTCGTTGCTACTTCATAACTCTAATTTTGCTACTGTTCTGAATCGTAATGTAAATATCTGATATGCAGGGTGTATATTCATTCACTGGGCCAAATTTGGCACAAATACCACACACACCCAAATGTGAACACTGGTAGATTTTGGGGGAAATAGACCTTGACATCTGGGAGTTGTTGTTGCTGGGATTTATAGTTCAGCTACAATCAAAGAGCATTCTGAACTTCACCAGCGGTGGAATTGTACCAAACTTGGCACACGGAATTCCCATGACTAACAGAAAATACTGGAAAGGTTTGGTGGGCATTGACCTTGAGTTTAAGAGTTGTAGTTCACCTATGTCCAGAGAGCATTGTGGACTCAAACAATGATACAATTGTGGACTCAAACAATGATAGATCTGGACCAAACTTGGCACGAATACTCAGTATTGGTAGAGTTTGGGGGAAATAGGCCTTGACATTTGGGAGTTGTAGTTCACCTAAAATCAAAGAGCATTCCGAACTCCATCTAAAATCAAAGAGCATTCCGAACTTCAATGATAGAATAAAACCAAACTTGGCACACAGAACTCCCATGACCAAGAGAAAATACTGGAATGGTTTGGTGGGCATTGACCTTGAGTTTGGGAGTTTGTAGTTCACCTACATCCAGAGAGCATTGTGGACTCAAACAGTGATAGATCTGGACCAAACTTGGCACGAATACTCAATATGCCCAAATGTAAACACTTGTGGAGTTGGGGGAAAATAGACCTTGACATTTGGGAACTGCAGTTTTTGGGTTTTATAGTTCACCTAAAAGCATTCTGAACCCCACCAATGATAGAATTTCGCCATAGACCTTGACATTTGGGAGTTGTAGTCGCTAGGATTTATAGTTCTCCTACAATCAAAGAACATTCTGAACTCCACCAATGATGGAATTGTGCCAAACTTGGCACACAGAATTCCCATGACCAACAGAAAATACTGAAAGGGTTTGGTGGGCATTGTCCTTGAGTTTTGGAGTTGTAGTTCACCTACATCCAGAGAGCACTGTGGACTTGAACAAGGATGGATCTGGACCAAACTTGGCACAAATACTCAATATGCCCAAATATGAACACAGATGGAGTTTGGAGAAAATAGACCTTGACATTTGGACGTTGTAGTTTCTGGGATTTAAAATTCACCTACAATCAAAGAGCATCCTGAACCCCACCAACAACATAATTGGGCCAAACTTCCTACACAGAACCCCCATGACCAACAGAAAATACTGTGTTTTCCAATGGTCTTTGGCGACCCCTCTGAAACCCCCTTTCAACACCCCCCCAGGAGTCCCGACCCCCAGGTTGAGAAACACTGCCCTATTTCGAGAGAAAGGCGAAACAAAACTAAACTAAATATAAAAGAAAAATAAATAGGTTCCACCTCACCATCATATTCCAGGTATTCTCCCAGGTGCCCGGATGTTTGGCTTTGATGCATAAAGGTTGATATGTCTTCTGGGACTGATGTCAAAGATCAGTGTGCATTTGGTGGCACCAAAGACTTAAGAAAACTTGGATATTCTCAGTGTTGCTTCACGGGAATTATTCACCAATATATACACAGGTTGAGCATTCCTTATCCTGAATTCTGAAATCTGAAATGCTCTGAAATGGTTCACACGGGTGGCTGAGAGAGTGATGCCTTTGCTTCCTGATGCTTCAATGTGTATATAAACTACGAAGCATGCACAAAATGATTTAAAATATTGTGTATATTTATTTATTATTTATTTACAGTTTTTCTCACCCCTGGGCTGTGTGTATATGAGGTGTATATGAAGTATGTGTGTATACCACTCAAACAATGATAGATCTGGACCAAACTATTAAGATTTTACAGATGAATTTCGTGTTTAAACTTGAGTTCTATTTCCAAGATATCTCAATGTTTGCATATATACAACTAGCTGTCCCCTGCCATGCGTTACAGTAACCAAGTCTGTGTATTTGTGTTTTGTGTGTGTATATGTGATGTTGTGCATGAGTTGTAATGTAATTATTTGGCTTTTTAACTCTCTTCTGCTGTGTTTTTCAGTGTTTTAATGAGTGATGGTCACTCGTTGACCTGATAGGTGTCTTGTGTCCAAATTTGGTGTCAATTCGTCCAGTGGTTTTCGAGTTATGTTAATCCCCCAAACGAACATGACATTTTTGTTTATATAGATTACAGGTTTTTCTTGGGAGGAGGGGTGGTGAATGGAAATCAAAAAAACTTCTGGACTAAGCATTTTGGATAAGAGATGCTCAACATGTATACAGATACAGATGGGTGCATATACAGTAGAGTCTCGCTTATCCAACATAAATGGGCCAGCAGAACAATGGATGAGCAAAAATGTTGGATAATAATGAGGGATTAAGGAAAAGCCTATTAAACATCAAATTATATTAAGATTTTACAAATTAAGTACCAAAACATCATGTTTTACAACAAATTGACAGGAAAAACAGTTCAATACACAGTAACATTATGTAGTAATTAGTTTATTTACTAATTTAGCACCAAGCATTGCAATGTATTGAACCAGGTGTAGATCCGGGCGGGAGGCAGAGTGCATTGGGATGTAACCACGCTCTGGTTACATCCCGTTTAGACTACTGCAACGCTCTCTACGTGGGGTTGCCTTTGAAGACGGCTCGGAAGCTCTAACTAGTCCAGCGGTCGGCAGCCATGATACTAACAGGAGCGGAGTGCAGGGAGCATACTACTCCTCTGCTGCACCAGCTCCACTGGTTGCCGATTTGCTACCGGGCGCAATTCAAAGTGCTGGCGTTGGCCTATAAAGCC